GCCGCTCGGGCGCAGAGGCCGACGCCGCGCTAGTCATTCCTCTTTGGCAGCCCTTTTCGCCAGCCAGACCTGAACCCCATGCCCTGAGTACCCGCGTGCCATAAGATGACATCAGGTAGGCCCCGCCGACGGTACCGAACGAAGGAGAGGGAGAGGAGAAACGCGAATAAAAGGAGGAAGAAGTGGAAGGAACGGGTGTCTCGGAGCGGAAGGAAGGGGACCCGGGGGGGGACCACCTCAGTGTCTGTCTTTCTGTCTGTGGGGGAGGCCTGGGGGGGAGGGAGTGGGGAAGGACGGCCGTGTAAACCAGTGTATGTGTGTGACCATGTGTACCTCCCTAAGTAGAGCAGGTAACAGCCGCTGACACACTCTCGGTTCCCTTGGTGTGGGTCCCTTAGTGTTCCTGAAGGAGGGGCCGAAGGAGGAGGAACCTCGCTGTTACCTGATCCTGATTGCTTTTATTTTCTTATCTTCTAACTGGTAATGTGAGGTAAGAGAGTGTGTACAGTCGGTTTGGTATATTATTATTTTTTTTTTTAAGTAGGTTTTCTTTTTCTTTGATAAGGATATATTCCTGTGTCTTTCACATGTGATGTTTATTTCTCCTTGATGAACTAAAAGTTTTTAATTTTTTTTTCTTCAGTGTGTAAAACGATAAGGATGTATTGCGGGTTTTAATTAGATATTATTTGATAGGGATGTGGGAGTGATTGCAGAATTGCCGTTCCTTCAACAGTTTGCAAGATTGACGTTTTTTCATCTCAGGAATGCGTTGCGATATACTTTATTGATATGACTTTTCTCATGTTTTTGTAGGTAATCAATTGTGCGAAAGTTTTCAACGAATTGGTAACATAATTAATAATATAATAATATTAGTTATCAATATTTTACTTAGTTTAGATTTACATTAGAATTTCATACATTTTAAAATTCTAAATGATGGTAGGAAAGTAGGCCTGTGATTTTTAGACAGAATACAGCATTCCTGATTTAGTAATAGAGGCAAGGATGAAAAAGGAGTGTTTTATCAAGTCTACACTGTGATCAGTACACTCGGATTATTTGTTCATCAGTGTAGATGATATAAAATGAGAGTGCAGCATGTCCTAGTGAAGAGAACATGTGAAAGTATTGTGTGAAATGTAACACTGTGAAAAATGTTTATGAAAAGAGTGTCTGAAAATATTTTATAAAGAGATGGGTGTTAAAGGTCAAAGTTATCATGGTTTAAAGTAATTTTTAAAATTGGATTACTGTAGAAAAAAGGAAATTTGGTGATTGTCCATGATATTACAGAGATGGATAAAAAAACTAAAGGAATCGTCACGTAGAAAACTTTAAAATAATTTTGGAAGCAAGAAGTAAATGATGAATATTAAGGCCCACAATCTTGCGTCCACATCACAGGTCTCGATACAAAGCGATGTTGTTGCTTCCGTGTTGTGACCTCCAGCGATGGACAGTAAAACTTTGCTGTATATATTCTAACAAGGTAGAACTCGCTAACAACTTTTTTTGGAATTTTTTCAAGTAAGAAACCAGTCTGAACTCTGTCTTTCCGATAATTAAATGGTGGAAGTTTGTTAGCCTTTGCTGGAACAGGAATCATGGAGTCCACATTGCAGTGTGATATGAATGATTACTTGAAATTTAGCAAGATTTAGGCATGGCATTATATCCTGTGTTTTCTAATAATAGTGTCAGATTACTGGGTGCTATTGAGATCACATTTGTCGCTGCAGGTATGCCGTTGATAATGAACTATGATATTGAAATATTGGAAATATTATTATCCAGCTAAATCTGATATTTTCAGTGTTTTTTTAATACCATTACTTTAGTTTTTCCTCTATCTCTGCAAGGTCCTCATTCCAAAATTTGCCCAAATCATTACAAGGAATACAGTATTCAAAAATCATATTGCAAATACATTTATATCACTTATAGACGGGTACGATTAATTAGGATATAATTCTCAAACTTGATAATATTCTAACTGCGTAACATGTGGTTTTATTTGACCTCCGACCTACTCGTTCTCATTGAATGTAATTGACACTTGAGTTGAAATTAATTTTTGTTTCTTTAAATACCAGATATAGATATATTATGTAGATATGTCCTGAATAGAGTTACTATTGATATTCATAATGTGTGATGAAATTATCATGATGTGCCAGTATATGAAGGAAAATAATATTTGATTTGTATTTTTTTTCTTTCTGGAATTCACTTTTTTAAATGTATGTAATCCCTTTTCATCAAGAGAATTAACTTCCCTCTCATCTCTTGGTTTTTGTAGAGCATTTTCAGTACCATAATCTCAAAAAAGCATTTAATAAAAAAAAAAAAAAGTTTATTTATGGCTAAAATTCAGATTCATTACTTAAGTGTTCCAGATTATTGTTAGTAATTGTGGAAGTGTAAGTATACATGTAAAAAATCAAATGATGGGACATTCTTTTAATGATCAGTATTAAGATATTTATTTAAGGTGATAAAGAACTCCATACTGACACTGTACAGTTTAGCATTCCTTGCATTCCTTTTTACGTAGCCTTAACTTGGGGTAATGTGGCGAGCCTAAGAGGGCAGTGGCTTCTTAACAGGCCATACTCGGGCTCGGAAAACACGAGGAGGCTTGGAATATCACCTTTACCTCTGTAACGTCAAAATGTCAAACTGACACGGTGTCCCCAAGGCAATGCATTCCAGAGAAATTTGAGTAGATTGATATAGTTCACGTGAGACCAAGACGATTTGCTGGGAAGAAAGTGTTCCAGGCCTCCAGGGCTTGGCTTTTGCTTGACGACACAATGCTGACGTGGTTTTCTGCTGCTTGTAGAACGTTTTGAGCAGTATTTCATGTGTAAGATAATTATAGAACATTTCGCAATCAGTTTTTGTAAATTGCTGCAGAACTTGTACAGACCTTTAGGCATTACACCCCAGCATTCTTTTTATATGTTTTTTTATAAGGATATGGAAATGATTAAAGTGGTTTTGTTCATAAATGTAAGATGTATATATAAGCAGTGCCTGTAGTAAGGTAAATGCATTGAAGGTAGCATATCTATAAGCACATAGTATTTAAAGAAAGTAATATTGCAGAGTGAGATGATTTAGTCACACACAAAATCTATATAATAGAAGCTATTTTACATGAAATGAGTCCCTAACAAGGTTTTTAACAGCCCCTATTGTTGGCTGTGAATATATTTTTAATGTCCTTGACTAAAAACAAAGCTTTGAACAATGGATCCACTCGTTCAATTAATTTGTTATTATGTTATTCACAAAAATGATATAATGATTACATAATTACTTATTATTTTGTGTCATAGAAAGTGCCATACAATACACATTAATCAATGCATAGGATCTGTGAGAAATTTACCCACACTCAAACACATGCATGTGTGAGCATACATATACATACATACATGTGTACACACATGCACACATGTACACACACATGCACACAAGTGTACACACACATGCACACATGTGTACACATGTGTACACACACATGCACACATGTGTACACAAGTACAAGCACACATGAACACACAGACACATACAGACTCACAGACACACAGACACACTCAGTTACACACACACACACACACACACGCACACACACACGCACACACACACACACACACACACACACACACACACACACACACACACACACACACACACACACACACACACACACACACACACACTCAGTTACACACACACACACACACACACACACACACACACACACACACACACACACACACACACACACACACACACACACACACACACACACACTCAGTTACACACACACACACACACTCAGTTACACACACACACACTCAGTTACACACACACACACTCAGTTACACACACACACACTCAGTTACACACACACACACACACACACACACACACACACACACACACACACACACACACACACTCAGTTACACACACACACACACTCAGTTACACACACACACACACTCAGTTACACACACACACACACTCAGTTACACACACACACACACTCAGTTACACACACATACTCAGTTACACACACACACACACTCAGTTACACACACACACACACTCAGTTACACACACACACACACACTCAGTTACACACACACACACACACACACACACACACACACACACACACACACACACACACACACACACACACACACACACACACACACACACACTCAGTTACACACACACACACACACTCTGTTACACACACACACACTCAGTTACACACACACACACTCAGTTACACACACACACACACACACACACACACACTCAGTTACACACACACACACTCCCTGTCTGTCTGTCTGTCTGTCTCTCTCTCTCTCTCTCTCTCTCTCTCTCTCTCTCTCTCTCTCTCTCTCTCTCTCTCTCTCTCTCTCTCTCCCTCCCTCCCTCCCTCCCTCCCTCCCTCCTTCTCCCTTTCCCTCACTCCCTCTCTCACTCCCTCCTTCCCTCGCTCCCTCTCTCTCTCTCTCCCTCTTTCCCTCCTTTCCTCTCTCCCTCCCTCTGTCCCTCCTTCTCTCACTCTCTCTCCCTCTCTCCCTCTCCCTCTCCCTCTCCCTCTCCCTCTCCCTCTCCCTCTCCCTCCTCCTCCTCCTCTCTCTTTTCTTAGAAAAAAGGATGTTCAATAAGTTAAAATTTGTAAGCCATTGTTGCTATGAAAAAAAACAAAAACAAAAAAATTTGAGACGAGGTTAAGTCGTGTGTGTTTCCAGGAGGCCGTGAACTCATGAATAAGCCATTGCTTGCCAGCCGGCAGTGAGAGCCCTTGCGTCGCTCGCTGATGGCTTGACCGCACGTTAAAGCCGCTATCCCCAGAGGAAGAAGGAAGTGGGTGCCCGAGAGACTGAACAATTAAAACCTTTCTCTTTCATTTGCCATTGTATGTACAAACCAGAGGAATCTCCACTGTGACAGAAACTTGATGCATGATGATTGTTGTGATATGTCTGTCCTGTGTTTGTTAATTTTTTTTTTTCTTCTTCTCTTTTTTGTGTGTGTCCTTGTTCGTTGTTTGTTTTTCTGTCCACTGGATGTGACATGACTGCCGCATTTTTTGAGAACTCTCTTTACACGCGTCAATGTCTTGTGTGGACTGGCATAACACAGAACCAGTAGCATACCTAGTTCTCACTACCATGAAACAGAACGGTAAAAGGTTTTGCCCGATGACTCACAGAATAAGCAAGTAGTTATGAGGGACCTGATTTTGCGCTTTACGTCTAATGAGAAAAAGTGTCGACAATATTCATTCATATTTCCTTGTCTTTTATCATTATTCGTGCCTAGCAGTATTAATCTGTTTCATGGTAGTCCCTTTACGAGATGTGTCGCAACTTATAGATGGATTAGTACATGCACCATGGTATGATTTTTTTTTTTTTTTTTTAATGTGTGATGATATTTCATTTAGATTCTTGTGATGCCTGTTCTCTAAGGAAATAATAATAATTTTAGTGAATATTTGTAGGAAACTGAACAATTGTGTTTGGTTGCAGAATATCTGATGAACTATTTTTTATGCTCATTAAAGATTGTCACCATCATTATTATCAGTGCCATTATCAATATTTTTATTGATTAGTTTTCACTAAATGTCAACGATATTTTAATGATAGTGACAGTTGCTTTTATTTTTATTATTATTGTTGTTGTTATTGGTTTTTGTTTTTATTCTTAGTCTTATTTTTATTCTTATACTTATTTTTATTCTTGTCTAATTTATTATTATTATTATTATTATTATTATTATTATTATTATTATTATTGTTGTTGTTTTTGTTGTTATTATTATTATTATTATTATTATTATTATTGAATTATTATTGTTATTGTTATTGTTATTATTGCTATTTTCATTATTATTGTTATTATCATTATCAGTATCATCATCATCATCATCATCATCATCATCATCATCATCATCATCATCATCATCATCATCATCATCATCATCATCATCATCATCATCATCATCAGTAGTTAATTACTGTTTATCCTCCTCACTATCATCATATCATTATCAGTATCTTGACTCATTACTGTTCCATCGTTGTCATCTCGCACAGATATTATCAGAAAAAATAAGCACGGCAGTAAGACCATTAGAAATAGGTTCATTTATATATTTTCTGGGTTATTGCGGTTACTGTTGCATGCTTCCACACAGTCAACATATTGGTGTTATGCATTTTTTAAAGAATATTAGTATTTTTTTACACATATATATGTAATTTTATTTTATTCCCATAGTGTTCTTGTTATGTATGAGAGTCCGACTGAAATTTCAGAGTCTGGATAAAAGCATGTCGAAGGATTGCATGTTAGAAGAGGAAAACAGATTCTCCCTGTTTTAGATGTTTATTATAGGGATAGAGAAATAGATAGAAAAAGCACAGGACCTTTTATTTGCTTGTTGAATTAAGGGAGAAGTCTTCTTGAATATGTGTGATGCAGATGTATTTTTTGTTTTCTTTTTTTTAAGATTTTAAAGCATTTTTGGACATATATTATTGTTAGTTTTTATGTGTGTAAAGTTTAAGTCTTTTTTTTTTATTTAGTGGATTTCCTGAGCAGATGAGTATCACACTCCATTCCAGTACTTTTGTTAGCTGTTATAAAATGTGAATGGAATTAGATGATATTCAACTGTCTCCCTGGTTTAAATATTCCCTTGATATATTATGCAGAGCTTTAAAATGTCATGCTTGGGTTTGATAATAACATGTAGTGTATAAGTGTGGTGTTATAGTGTCCTTTTCTGGAGTGTTTTCGCAACTAACACCATCATCATTTACTAACCAGCTACCAGAAGACATGGCTCAAAGTCAGCTGTGTTGACCTTCAAGGCAGCAGGCCCTCATCCATTACTTAGATGCAACAGCGCTAGAACCATGCGTGACGGAAAGAGTAAGGGCGGTGGTTGTACCGTAGTTGTTGTGCGGACGTTTCACCTTGCGTTGTTTCTGCAGCGTCTATCACTGTATGCCTGCATGCGTTTTGAGTGCACTGGCTTTCCTTTTTTAGTGTAGAAATAAGCCACACATGATTCTCATTTTTTTTTTCTTTTTCTTTTTTGGTGTTGCCCATTGGGAAGGAAAGGTTGTTTTATGATTACATTTGATTTTCAGGAAGTTGCTAGCGGGTCCGAAAAGGTTGTCCATTATTTGTGGCTTTTGCAGGAAATTGATTTTTTACTCTTGTCTCACAGCTCAATTTTCTGTGAAGTTTGTGCAATTTTTTCTTACGTTAGTCATTATCTTTTGCAAGTTGATTGTTACTGCACATTTTTATTTGATTTTACTAGATTTTTTATTTTTTATTAAAATTAGTACACTGCACAGTTTACTAGTAATGTTTATTCATTTGTTGAGTTTAATTGCATTTCATGATAGATATCTGTAGCAGAACTCAGATTTGTTTTACAGTAATAAGATTAATATAATGTGTTCTGTGGAAACTGTATCCATATTTACCAAGTTGTGATATTAAGATTTTAAAAATTTGCATTTAACATCATAAAAACAGAAGCATAGTACAGACAAGCTAAGGCAATAAGATAAGATAAGGATATGATCTATGCAGTGATATAAAAGTTGTTTTGCCAAAACTTGGACAGAGATTGAATGTAGATGTAGAATGGAACTCATGTACTCGTGGGTTTATTAAGTTAGTCAATGTTTTTAATTATGAAATGATAACTACCGAAGCCACTGCTTATCTGTCACAATAGGTTGAATATTGTTCAATGTTCATTAAAGAATACATTTCTTGTCTGTGATGGAGCTAGAGATTTTTAATAAACTGGAAGATGGTTTTATTCCACTGAATGTTGGTGTTACGATTTTCTTCTTGAAACTTGTTGCTCATTGTTATCTTTATATAAGGTAAAGGATCTGCCATGATTTTAATCCAAATTTACCGTCACTTCAGATATTGACGTAGGTGGCGTAAAGCCCCTCGTCTCCAGGACAGAAATACACTGCGGGAGAACGGGAAACTCTCGCACCAATGCTGGAAAACCTGCGTATAAATCTCAGGTAAAGAGTAATAGGTATTATATTCATTTATTTGATTATTTATATTGTAAGATTTTATACTTTTATTTCTTGATGTATATAAGTGTACAGTCAATATATTATTTATTTATTTATTTATTTACTTATTTTATTTATTTATTTTAAGCATTTGAAGGAAGTGGCTTGCAAAAAGAACTTTGTTATAAAGAGGGAATATTTTCAGTATGCTCAGGTTAATCTTATATTTCTTATAGTGAATATTGTAATAAGTGGAGTATTATTGATTGTGAAAATTCAATACTTTTATTATTGATATTTTTATCATTACTGTTACTAGTCCAAAACATTATCCATTAGAAATACAAATATTCTGATAATAGTAATGTAATAGAATGTTATTTTCATCATGTTCACCCTCTTTTAAATTAATCTCTGCAAACAGGAAGAGCAGTACCAGGAGATACAAGAGCTCCGCAGACACCTCGGAGAACTGCGTGAAGAGAACTCTGGCCTCAAGACGCGGACCCGACGGCTCGAGGAGGACTTGATCCGCAGAGACCGTCAGATAGAACAGCTGATGGATCCAGCCAAGGTAGGTGTAGAGTGAGACGCAGTTCGGTCGCCTTTTTGTTGGATATGATAAGATGAAGGTCATTTATCCATTGAGTACGCCTGAGGGTGAATAACCATAAGTTGATGCATGAGTATTTTCTGGTTTCAAGTTCTATATTTTATGCATGTACTTGTGTTTACATGTGTACACTTAAGATATATATATTTATACATATGCACATACGTTTACTCAAGTATGTATGTATGTATATGTGAATATATTTAGACATACTTCTATACATATACATGTAGATATGAGTGTATGTTTACTGAATCATATGCTTTTCATCCCATCGCTGGAGACGATCTCCAGAGACGTTAACCTCCCCTCTTGTGTGATTGAAATAGAGCCACAATTAATTCATCCAATATTGAGTGGGATTGCATTGCCCAGGGAGAAAACAACGGTTGCAAGAAAAGCTAAATTAAGTACTGGTGCCTTTTCTTACTACGACTCTCTTCTAAGGGTAGGTGGAAGGCAGCAGCAGAGACATTTTCATAACAAGCTAACAGTGTGTGGTTTCTTTTGCTTACACTAACCGCGCAGAATGACGAGGCTAGGAGAAAGTTAACGGACAAGGGAGCCTCTCTAGTGTCCAGCTTGAAGTTAAGAGTTTCACGCCTGGAATCGACACTAAAGGATAAGGAAGCCGAGCTTGCAAAGCTTCAAGCCTCAGCCAAAGCAACGGCCTTGAATGAACTGAAGATCGAGGCTGAAACTTATTACCAGGAGGTTAGTTTGAGTGTAGAGATTTGCCTCCACAGGGATAGCCAAGGCATGTCTGGTACAGGACGTGATTCCTTGGAGTGTGAGTGGCGTCTGTCTGCTTGTGTTTTTTTTTCGTTCTGCTTTTGTGGTTGTGGTAGAGTTTTTTTTTATTAATTCCGGCTATTTTTGATTAGTTTATTATTTGCATGTATATGTAGATCTTAAGGAATTTATTATTTTTTTGTTACACTTGATATAAATGAAATTATCTTTTTTTCATAAGGCATTATTTTATTTCAGGTTATTATTTTTCATTTTTACTAAATACTTGTATTAGTGTATTTAGAACATTAAAAGATATTATATTATCCTTCCCATGTACTGGAAGTTGGCATATATATAATGTGTGTTTGTATAGTTGGTAGTCTTCAGTTCCTTGAGAAAGAGTAGCCAGGTTTTGTTGTATTAAACTAATACCTGTATCAGGGTGAAATACCTAAATATTGGTCATTTGAATTCTTGACAGTGTTTATTCTGCATGATATAGATTATGGTTTAATACATAGTATTTTTCTTTCTTCTCTTGTAATAGATTAATTCAAGAATGAAAAGTTTCAAAGTGAATCTTTTTTTTGTAATAATCATCTTTACTTTGTTGTCTCTTTTTTTTGTGTAAAGAAAACGTCATTGTTTCATTGCTGATTTTTTTTCTAATTCGACCGTACCTTTCAGGTTGTAAGACTGAGGAATCAATTGAATGTGGCTCAGCAGCATCAGCAGCAACAGCAATATCAACCTCAGCAGCATCACCAACATCAACAGCAGCAGCAGCACCCTCAGCAACAGTACCAAAAGGTTCCCCAGCAAAGCTCTCCTCAGCACACACACGCACAACTGCACTTGCAGCCTCCTACACCACCTGACGGCAAGAGCATGAATGTGGCCCACTGGTCCAACCTCCGTGGCAGTGGTCGGGAGAGCAGGGAGGGCATGCAGGGCTATAGGGACGGCGGTGATGGTCAGGAGTCACCCACGCACAGTTTAAGGCACGCGCTCACCCAGATGGAGGAAGAGAACGCCCGCCTTGGACAGCAGGTGGCAGCCTTGGCGTCGGAGAAGGCCAAGCTCACGGCAGACATAGAGAGGGTTCTAGGGCTTTCTGATGAAGTCAAAAGTTAGTAGATTTGTATGTGCTTTGAAATACTAAAGAGTCTTGAAAGACAGATATGCATGTCTTCTAATGTGCACTTCAGCAAATGTGGAAGTCATCGCATGTCCGATGCTCTTTCACAAATGCTAATGAGTGCTCACATTTACCCAAAGCTACGATCACTTGAAAATTCTTTCCAAAGCTTACTTTAAATCCTAGTTGAAGTGCACAGATATACACAAAGAATGCTAAGATTATCCTCACATGTGACTAAGTGCAAGCATATCCATGTTTTAAACAGTGGTCTTGAAATGGCACTGATGATGCTAATGTTATTATCAAACTTAACTGAAATTATGTTGCTATTCATTATAGTTGATCTTACTTTCACTGGGACATTAAATTCAAGAGACTTGCATATGGCTGTACCTGATGATATAGATACAGATGTATACAAGGAATATCCATACACCTAAAAAAATATTTAGTCTGTTATGTACAATCCTTTACATTTCAATTTGTTTCAAGGAAAGAAACTGAAAATAAAGATGGATAATAAATTCCAACACATTGTAAAATCTGAAAATAAAAGCAAAATTTGTCACACTAGGTCTTCAGACTGCTAAGGAAAAGTTTTTGCATGATATAGGTATACATATAGATGTTAAAAAGAGAAAAGAAAAGAAAGAAAGAAAAAATACTCTGAGCATAAGCTATTTTTAAGTTGCTTATGCCCCTCCTTCTTGTCAGTATATTTTTCCTTAATTGGAGCCTTCATTGATTTTGCAATTTAATGATTAGTTTTAGATTATGACTTAATAGTAGCAATACTGTTATCATTGTTGTTATTACTATTATTACTATGATGATGATAATGATGATATTCTTATTATTACTCTTATTTTAATTGTTACTGTTATGATGATTACTGTAACTCTTATTAGGATTAGTATCATAATTAGTAATAGTATTCTCTCCACCTCTCATCCCATCACTTTTTTGCTCTTCCTTCTCCCTTTACAGAGTTTTATGTTATCCATTTTTATATTACCTTCTTAAACTGACCCCAATTTCATATGACTGGCAGGCAACTATGAGGGGCTCAACCGGGCGGAACTGATACGTGAAATTGAGCGGAGGCACGAGGAGGTGACGAGGTTGGAGACGCAGCACAGCCAACTCACGGAAGCACTTGCGAGGAGGAACGACCTGGCGGGGGACAGCGCTGCTCTCCTTCAGGTAACAGTGGGCTGGGATAAGGGCTGTTTAGATGTTAGGAAATTTTGTAGTGTTTGTTTATTTATTTCTTGATTTATTTGTGTATTTGGTTGCTTGTTTGATTATTTATGTGTTTATATGTTTATATGACTATTTATTTATATATTTATTTATTATTGTGAGTATTTACCTGTGTTTTATCTTAAGATGGATGATATTAAACAAGGTTAATTGTAAGTCTTCTAAAACTATCTCTTATAAATAGGAAGCTCAAAATATTTGCAGTACAGTTGATAGTAATAACAAGGAATATACAACCGCACTAACGCTGATATTGTTTACTTCAGGCCAGAGTATCGGAGCTCCAAGCAAGGGAGGTTGAATGGGAGAGGGAGCGTTCGAGCATGAGAGAGCTAATCAACACTTTGAAAGACGACCGGTTGTTTTACAAGGAGACTGCTCAGAAGAAAGAGTGAGTTCCGGGATTTCTTGGTGTGAACGTTGCCTGAAATATATTCTTGTTTGTTTCGATATTTATTTGTTTGTTTGTTTATTAATTTGTTTATCTAATTTTAGTCATTGGAAATTAATTGTTCTTGTTTTTAGTGTTTTGTGGAAGTAAATACCATTTTTTTTCCCCCTAAAGAAATAGTGGATTGTAGAAAAATGTATGTTTATTTAGTAGAATGGTCATTTGTGTTTTTTTTTCCACTTTTTTGTAAAAAGAAAAGAAAAGAAAAAAAAAAGATGTATATAATTAGCCTGTTGCAAGTGTTGGCCTGTTCCTTAAAAGTGATTCAGTTTAGATTATTTTGAGATTTTATTTACTGGTTATTCTTAAATATGTTTTGAGTGTTGGGTACAAATAGCTATGCATATAAAAGCAGATATTATTTAAAATGCTTTAGCTGTTTATTTATAAATTAATTTTTCATTATATAACTCAAATGTCACAGCTGTACCTAGGTATCTATACTTTAACAAAATTTTCCCTCAACACTATATTGTTTTGATGCCCTGCTATAAGATGCATGAAGAAGATTATACGTAATTTTGTTTATTGGACTAATAGGATGATAATTTTTTGTCTCCATATTACTAGAGAAAATTTGAATGTTAAAATGTATGTACTCAGTATTGAGGGCATGGCAGATTCTATTGTTTGTCATTATTGGCATTGTTAGGGAGGTGGCGGTGATGCAGGCATCGTACCAAACATCTCTTCTCCGTGAGCACCTAAACCTTGTCAGGTTGTCTGTATTCATATCTATAATTTATCTTGATTTGATTCTAGCTTGCTTTCCTCTTTCATTATTATTTTCTTCAGTGGAATTCTTTGTATTCTTGTTTTTTTTTTCCTTATTAAGAATTTATTGCAGCTTTGCTCTTCATTCTTTTCTGTATAAAAGTGGTTGATGGTGGTGTTAGGCCTCATGCAGATCATGACTCAGAGAGGAACAAGCTGTTTCTGTGCACTGCCATAGCCTGTACATCTTTCTGTGCTTTTTATACTTTCTCTAGCCTTAAAGTGTGATCCTTTATACTGAGGGCCTGCAAGGTTTTCAGAGTTTTAAGCTTATACACACACAAAAGAGATTAGGGGTCACTGAACTATGTGGTTAGAAGTAGTTCATTGCTGTGGAAATCTTTATTAAAAGTAATTTTTGTAGAAAGTCAAGGGGTTATTAATGTACAGATAAATTCTAGGCCAGATGAAAGGAATTGCATGGTTCTGCAAATTATATTACTATTGATTTTTATGACTCTTGGATTACTGGCAGTCAGTAGGATATTTGCATTTATGGAACACCTTTTTCAAAACCATAGTATTTTTATGCACATTACTAGCATAATACCATTTTTGTCTGGCTGCATGACATGAAATTCACAAGAAGTTATGGATTGTTGTGTGTAGATAGTGATAGTACAGACCTAGACAGTTTAAGATAACCATCCTGCTTACATTAGTATCGGTTCATGCTGATTTCTCCGTCTGGCCTCCATAAGTATCGATTAATACCACTGATTATGGATCCTCAGGTCCTGCAAGATTTGGCTATTTCTAAATCCTTTAATGCTCTGGATAAATTTGGGTTGTTGGTATGTAAGACCGGAAGTACAACTTTAGCTTCCCAAATTACTGAATAGGTGACTTTATATGAATTAGTATAAAGAGATTGTTTTTGTTTTAGATATTACCATGGTTACGAGACTGATGGATAGATAAATGATTACTTATATGAATTCATTGGTAATTATTATATCGCTTGCTAAATGAGCTACAAATATTTTAAAGAAGCACAGTATTTTGGAAGTTAGAATGTATTAACTAATGTGAGAACTTAGTCATATAAAATTTGCAATAGATATTTGCCATTCATTCATTCATTCATTCATTCATTCATTCATTCATTCATTCATTCATTCATTCACAACCTCTGTCTTTATATACTTGTATGATAGGCATTTGTGAAAATGATTATAGAGTAAAGTCTATTTTGCTTTTGCCTTCTGTGATTTTTTGTGTATGATGTTTTTACTGTATAATAATGTGGAATTACAGACCATATCTTTATAGCAGGAAATGAATATAAACAAACTATTTTTCTGCTATTGCTTTTTGTTTAGATATAAGAAAAGCTTTGCTTGCCCATGTGGTGTTTTGTCTGTTCTCTGCTAAAGCTGAGAACTAAATGACTGAGCTGGTATTCCTGAAAAAGTGGTTAGGTTATATTGAAATCTTAACCTGTTGGATCCAGGTGCATCATAGTCGACACACACATGACCCAAAATCCAGGCGTTAGGATTACTTTGGAGGCGACTCTCCCCAGTGAGTGGCTTGTAGGCCCGGCCCATATGAGACCTCTTGTGTGGTATCAGGACTCCATGCCTTCCCTTTGAAATGTTATAAATACTTTTTTATTTTTTTGTAGAAATTTTCTAAGATCTATATTTGTTATTTGATATGATGTATCAAGAGTTAAATAGACTTTCAATATTTGTTGTTTAGGTAGGATGCAACTCTGCAATAACAGTGACAATAAGTAACGGTTTGTTATTTGTGTAATTTATTAAATATTTTTGTATTCACTTTTCTGCAAACACCCTGCACTCCCAGTCACGGTGGGCAGAAATAGGACCCTGGGCATGAAAACTGGTGCTTTATAAGCCATGGCTCACAGAAGATATATTCCACTCCACCCTTGTTTAACAGTGGAAATGATGCAAGAGCCCCGTCCTAAATTCCCCAAGAGCTTTTTGCACTCATGGCGAGTCATACCCATCACCCTGGCATTCAGCCAAAGCTTTCCATGGTGGCATGTTCCTGTCACCAGCCCTCAGCCAGATTATTTCATGACATGATGTTAATGTCAAGAGGATCGAATTGGTTAAAAATATGTGTGTGTGTGTGTGTGTCTGTGTGTGCGTGTGTGTGTGTGTGTGTGTGTGTGTGCATGTGTGTGTGTGTGTGTGTGTGTGTGTGTGTGTGTGTGTGTGTGTGTGTGTGTGTGTGTGTGTGTGTGTGTGTGTGTGTGTGTGTGTGTGTGCGTGCGCGTGCGTGCGTGCACGCGTGCATGTGTGTTTTCAGGAACATTTAGGCTCAGTACTCAAAAAAAGAAAAGAAGAAAATGCAGGTACACAGCCTATATAGGCATAAAAGTGCATATACTCTATGACATGAGTAGACTAAATAGCATATTGCTATGAATTATCTTCCCCCCTATATATATATCTATAAGTAAATTCATCAGTCAGCTTCATTAGAATCATATCACTCCACCAGGTCGGAACTGGATGGTCTTCGTCAGGAAATTCAGACCCTCCAACAGGAGGTCATCTCCCTCCACGACCAAAACCGCAGACGCAATGAGAGGCCGACGCCCCCTCCCCCTCAGAGGTCTGTACGTGGAACGGCGAGGCCTACAGTATCCAGTGGTGAGTGTTTGTCCTCAGGTTTAAAGTTTTGTTATGATAAATTCTCCCTTTATTAAAATGAAGAAACTAATTTGGGTGAAAAACTTTTTAGTAGCCTAGGTCTTGTGTGTGTTAACTAGACATAATGGGTTTGCGATTCCTTATATATTTAGTGGGTTTGCTTTAGGTTATGCATGTTCATCATGTCAGTTATTAGATTTGATATCTAATTTATATTCTCTATGTTTATATTGCATGGCTTGGTAATGCAGTCTTCAAGACTTAAATCTATGTGATCTTTCATTCCATAGCTTCAAGGTCAGGTTCGAGCAGTGAGGCAAACACACCCACACGTCGTCCTCGCACGTCAAGTGCTCGACCCCCACCGCCAAGCACACGAACACAAAGGTCCTCTAAGTCATCCAGCGAACCACGAGAAATACCTCCTCAGAGCAAAAGCAGGAAAATGCCCACTCCACAGACCACAAAGAAGCCTGCTGTTACCAAACCATCTTCCAGGCAGACCTCAAGTACTTCGTCTCCATCAAAGGTTACACCAAGCAGTTTGCAGAACTCTGTTGGCAATGCGAGACCCAGCAGTGGTAGCAGAAGGACAACAGTATCGTCTGCAAGTTCCTCTCCCAAAGCCAGCCCTTATGCTTCACCCAAACACACCTCTGCAGCTAGCCGTGCAAACTCTATATCGGCCTCAAAGACTCCCACACCACTGAGTTCACCCCGCAAGACTGCAGGAACTGCATCACCTCAACAGAAGCCTGCGGCCAAAACATCCCCTCAGCACAAACCGTCTGGATTGACTTCACCCTCGAAAGTGCCCACCTCTCGTGCCTCCTCTAGAACGAGCACCCCATCATCCTCAGTCAAATCATCCCCTTCGAAAGTAAACTCAGCTAATCGTTCGCCCTCAAAAGTCCCCCTACCCAGCAAAACCAGCAGCCCAAGCAAAGCACCAGCGATTAAGAGGGAAGAAAGTGCAAGTCCGACAAGAAGTCCGAGAACAGTGAAACAGGACACTGTCAGAGAATCCTCTTTGGTGAGTCTTGTGATTGGATATTTGTTGGGTCACTTTTGCATAATAGTAAGCTTATGCTGATTAGCATAGTCAGAATGTACATTAACTTCAAATAGATTTACAATAGTGGTATATAATTCTTTCTAGATATAAAATATATTTTGTGCACACCCATTTTAATGAGTTAAAAGTATAAACTCTCCTCCTAAACCTTATGCACAATAACAAAATTTATTCATTTTGTTGATTGAGTGAATGAGATGCTTGTGAAACTGCAGGACACCTAGAAGGATTACAGGTTCAGACAATATGTATAGGTAAAGAAATCAGGTGAGGGAATATGATGTAAATGATGTCTATTACTTAGAACTATGCAGTCAGTGTGGCATTAAAGGAAGGTCATAGAAAGAGTAAAACAATCAATTTAATTTGTAGATGTAGTAGTAATGTGGGAATAGGGATTTTGAAATGCAGTAAATTTGGAACAAGGCATTAGAAGGAATTTGCCAAATAGCATATTGAAATATGTATGTATATGTACATTTATTACCTGCTTTTACACAAGTGTCCCAGTACAATGATTCTGATTAATCGTAAGTACTTGAGGAACAAAGAATAGTTGGCTACATGTAAAACCGAGATAGGAAATGGTATTTGTTTTAGGAAAGACTGATACAGAATATTGATTTAATATCTGTTTTGGCAGATGTATAGAAAGGATAAATAAATTGAGTGAACGCTGAGTGATGAAAAGGTGGAAAAGCTAAAAA